TGTGCTCCAATGTGCTCCCGTGAGCTCCCGTGTCCTTCAGTGTGCTCTAGTGTGCTCCAATGTGCTCCAATGTGCTCCCGTGTGCTCCAATGTGCCCCAGTGTGCTCCAATGTGCCCCAGTGTGCTCCAATGTGCTCCAATGTGCCCCAGTGTGCTCCAATGTGCTCCAATGTGCTCCAATGTGCTCCAATGTGCTCCCGTGTGCTCCCATGTTCTCCAGTGTGCTCCCGTGTGCTCCAGCATATTCCCGTGTGCTCCAGCGTGTTCCTGTGTGCTCCAGCATGTTCCCGTGTGCTCTAGTGTGTTCCCGTGTGCTCCAGCATATTCCCGTGTGCTCTAGTGTGTTCCTGTGTGCTCTAGCATGTTCCTGTGTGCTCTAGCGTGTTCCCGTGTGCTCCAGAGTGCTCTATGTGATCCATTGTGATGCAATGTAACTCAGTGAGCTCCAGTGCAGACCATTGTGCTCCAGTGAGCTATTTTGTGCTCCAGTGTGATGCAATGTGATACAGCGTGCTCCCGTGTGCTCCCGTGTGCTCCCGTGTGCTCCAGCATGTTCCCAGGTGCTCTAGCGTGTTCCCGTCTGCTCCAGAGTGCTCTGTGTGCTCCGGTGCAGACCAGTGCGCTCCTGAACAGACTGTCCTGCCCATAATCACAGTTTGAATGATTTCTCCAGCCATACAATCCAGCACCATCTCTTCCCTGGAACCCCGACTCGCCCGCGGTAGAATGTGGGGTGCGGTGCACGCCCGACTGTGTCCCCTAGATGGCGCAGAGTCATCGCTCGCCTGTCCAGCAGATTTCAGATAAAATGGTGGATGTTTTAGAACCAGAAAGGGGCCTGCGTGGTGTTTTGGAAATCGTTGATGTGTTCCTCACTGCCTGCGTAGCGAGAGTTTGAAAATCTGTCCGGTACGTAAACCTCTTAACTGTATTTGATCGATAAACAGAGAGTTGTGAAATCGAAGTATAGACGATATAGTCTCCAGTGTTGGAATATAATCCGTTATTGATCTGTACGTATTAAAACACAAGAGTTTATTTTTGGTTTATTCTCTGTGAGTGAGGTTTTTTTTTAAAAGGATCATGCGTCTCAGCGCGGAGGCTGGTTTC